TAACTGTTGTCCTTTAGGGTCGACATATTCACATTTATTGATCACTCAATAATGAACAATGTCATGTTTGTCTAGTTCTTAATGCTAATTGAAATTTGTCGATCAGATTGCGATATGATAACTAGCACATCCTACTGATGAGTGCCAAATAGCACGAAATTCATGTTCACGACGTCCTGTCGATTCGCTTCAACCACCTAACATTTCAACACAGTCTAACCACATTTCAACTCAGTCGATGGAATTTGATCAGCATTAATGACTGAGCAAACGTGAAGTTGGTCACTGAATATGAGTTGACCGATTGAAAATTAACAATACCAAATGATATGAGTTAATGAACTATGAAATAATAAACAAACAAACGAAACAGTAATTTTAATTGTTTGATAAACAAAATAAACAGTTTATTACTTATTTGGGAGTATTTGAGTAGAAATTATTTGGGCGTTGTTAATGTGTAATTGTCAGATTACTTTGTCAGTAACTTTTTTGACATTTAATAATCAATATTGGCATATATGACAGTTGTGGAACACTGATAATTGACTGAACTTCAATGTGCTAACTATAGAATCCCAAACTCGGTGGCCTAATGGTAACTTATATGTCAAGAATCTCGAATGTCCTTGGTTTGACTGTAAGTGAAGTCTTTAATGCACAATGCTTCGTTTTTTATACTAGGACAGTAAGAATTGTCCGATGTTTCTTGGCTTTAAATGCTTTAAGGAATCTACAAACTAAATGATCTCCAACATTTTAAATTCTAGGAATGTATATTAGTTAAAATGGTTCATTTCAAAGAGTGGAAGGATATCCTCTCTCCAGCATCACAAGTGATACGGAAACGTGATCAATAGAATATTGTGAAAAAGGTGTCTTTATTATCATAGCAATAAGAAATCAATCTTTCAAACATCTTTTTAAACGTAAGTGTGATGAAAGGCAAACAACCATGACGGTATTTCCACCCCAAGTGTATTAATATTTACCTTTATACATTGAGACTATTAATATCTCATTCAAAACACACTCAAATATTGTTTTACGTTTATACATAGTCTGAGTACTGTGCTTTCTATTAGTCAAAAGTACTAATCGATCGTAGGTTTTTTTCTTGTAATTAATTTTCCGAGACTTAATTTTTAAACTTAGACATAGTAATTGCCGGTGAGTTTTAATATTGGTTATTTCTATTCACAAAAATTCTGTGGAAAAAAATGTAAAAATGATAAGAAGCAAGACAAATTTTGTTGTGAGAAACAAGCAACAATTTACAATTATTTATGAATTAAAGGATGATATGTGAAGATTTACCTGAAATACATTTAAAAAACTATGTATTTATGTTCTGAAAGGAGTTTACGTACAGTACTTTGAATACAAAAAATGGAAAAACTCAATAAAAGTGCGTCACTTTCTACCAGAAGTTTTATTAACTGTACAGAAAGGATTTAAGATGGGTCTAACCAGAAAATAGAAGTTGTATGATAGTAGAAACCTAACTGCTAAAAAATCTGAGGTCAGATAACCTAGTTATAACAAAAATTTTATTTTATTAATTTATAACCCTTGTTATGCAGTCATAAATTTGTTTTTATCATGGATTGACCTTAACTAGAAAGTACACTGACTACTTACAATTGACTGATTTTGAACGATTTGAGTTAACCATATCAGGATGAGTATAGCAACCCTCCCACAATTAATTTTGTCAAGCCCTTTAATTAACATATTTAACAAACAGTGTTATTCGAATAGTAATAATTTGTCTATTTCTTTGTATTATTATGATCACTATTATGTTTATATAAATGTAAATGTTGATCACATATCTCTCTCCAACTTAAATGTTGATCGCCTATACATAGATATGCTTAAATCTTATTAATTGTTTTGCCTTGCTTGGCTTCGCCTTTATTCATTTTGACTCTGAATTCGCCTACGTATTACTTACTTGAGTGCATTGACCTTTATGCTCAAATTCGTTCGTTGTGCTTGTAACTTTGTCATATGTGCTATCCAATAATAAACTGTAGTCACCGCTTTCTATTGCTCTGTGAATTCATATACTGTTGAGATTTATTTAATAACCATTATCAGGGTGATTGATAAACGAAGCCTAAGGAATTATCTCGAAACCAAGCCACTACCAGTGAATTACCTATGACGCTGGGTAAAAATATAGTTATATTGTCTAAAAATCAGACGAACATGTGGACCAAGGAACTCAGAATCACCGCTTAGAGGGCATCATTCTTGTTATAAGGCTTAAATGTTTTGGCTCATATCCTAGTTTGGTTGTCAGCGTAAGTTATTTTCCATTCCCGAAAGTTGTATGCAACACTTATACAAAGCTTCCATGTTTTCAGTGACTCTCAAGCTTATGTTAGGTTATCTGAACTGATAAGTAGGCAAAAAGCACCAATCAATACGAGAAATTTATAACTTGGATTTACATAATAGTTTATGTTAACACTAGTATTAGGGCGGGAATACTACATTGTTAAATCAATAAATTAATGTTAAATATTGAAATCAAATGAAAATTCAATAATGTCCGATGTGTAATTGTTACCCAGCAACGGCAATGAACGATGATTGAGCCACCTCGAGTATTAATTGAAGCTATAAGTGTTAATCATTGGATACTGATTCAACTGTCTAAACGTTAATTGTTCGTCGCAATACTTAAATGGTCCTAAGTTTGATTCTCTGCAAAGTCATGTATGCCCACTGCTGGAGAGTCCTGTACTAGAAGAAAACAACTGTTCAGTGCTTCTTAATTTTCAGTAATTGTTTGATGGTCAGTTTTTAATGGACACTATCAATTGGAATGAACAGGAAGTACCTCAATAACCTCTCTTCTTTCCCTCTCCATCTATTCAACGCTCAAATAAATCAATTTACTTATTGGGTTAATGCGGTATGAGTACGAACTAATGATTCCTTTGTGCTTGCTTGCCCTCTGATTACGAATTCCAAGTATAATCCATTCATTTGTGCTCATTTAGTTCTACCTAACTTAAATTGCACTATTTTGAGAATTCTTAGTTAGTGCATTATTTCGAATACTTCTAATTGTCATAGTTAGTCAAATATTAGGGATCTTACGAACTGATCAATTCACTTCCTTGTATAAGTAATGGAAGTAAAACAAACTGCATTGTAGTATGCTTATAAAAATACTTAATGTACATTACAACAAAAAACAGTGAAGGATTAATATTAAATTGAAAATTATATTTTTTTAAGTTAACTGTACATAAATAATAATCCCACTGTTTAAATCCACAAAATATGTCATATTGTAGTTACCATTAAAATACTGTCAAGTTTCTTAAAATGTAGTGATAAAAGATATAAACAGGAATACTCTACAATAGTATTGAGATGGTTAGTTGTTTTTTTCTATAACTAAGATAAACACCTGGGCATTGAATTCCGTTTGAGTGCTTTTGTTTGTTTGATGATTAATTGATTCAGTTAAACGTTATACACTAACGATAAAAAAATTAATACTGATGCGTGTCATTCCTCAATTGTTCTGTTGTGATCAAATTACTTAATGCAAATCATTTTAATCACACTGAATAATAGTTTGTCATGAACCACTGGGTCAAATGTATCGTGATACTTTGTTGGTAAAACTGATGAACAAATATTTTTGAGCATGGAATAAAGATAGATTATGAGTTTCCTCCACCATATTGTGGACTAGAAAGCGAACAAAGTAAGTATGTATGTATCCATTACCAGGAGAAAGATTTAGAACTAAGAAGAAACTGTTGTTTGTTTCAAATTAGTGCAAAACACATTTTGAGACGATCGGTAATTAAATGGAGCGATTGTTCACCAATACTTGCATTCTAGGAGTTCTTCAGGTGATGTTAGTTGTTGATGTCAAATTTAAATTAAGTAGTGATTTATACATTTAATAAACGGAATACACCCATTGAGGCATTAAATAAGAAAGATGGGTTCAGCGAAGAGTTATCTTCTCGGTGAATTCATTTTTAAAGCTGTACAACCTTATCATGCTGAGCCATCCTTTCCCAATAATGGTTTCCCTATCTATCATTATGATGAATATTTAAGCCCTTGACAATCAAACTATTATTAGTTTCCCGGCTTAAAAAAGGAATTTCGAATATCTTTGTTTATTCTACTTTACTGTTACTATGTCTAACAGAAGTTTATTATCATTATTATTATAATCATCATCCTGAAAAATAAGTATATATTTCCGCGTGTACAGCTTTAAAAATGAATTCGCCGAAAAGAGAACTATTCGCGGAACCAATCTTTTTTATTTAGTTTTTGATTGAGATCATGAACCGATTGACGTTATACCACCGTTGGAAACCTGGAATCACTGGACGGCCGTTTCGTCCTATTGTGGGACTCCTCATACATGTTTTATCTATCTTGTTTAATGAAAATCAGAGTTTACGGGCTTATAAAATTTTCTACTCCTCGAATATGGTTGGTATACTAAGATATTTCATTAAGTTGCAAATAAAAGTTCTTGTTTATCAATAACTGCGTTAAATAAACAACAATCTCAGGTCACATAATGCGATTAGGTAAAAAATAATAATTATCACCCTAGTGTTAATTTTCGTCTCTCTCATTTATACCGGGCATATAAAATACATGTGATGCAAGTGATGAGGGCAGACACACCACATTAAAATTTTGTTATCACTAACCTCCATAAACGCATTAGACCGAAATGCGACTAACAAACAATAAATATTGCTTTGTGGTTGTTCTGGGTATGAAAATCGATAACTCGGAAGGTCAACACCACTACAAGAGGGGAGAGCAAGAACCGTATACTTGTGTTTAAATAGTAAGATGACTAACCAATATTCTCCTAATGATGTGGAAATCATAAACCTCCAATTGAGTTTTGCTCTGGTAGATGTTCACACACCCTAACAATTTGCGTGACTTCGATTTGCTAATGCTTTTAGGCGGCAGAACAATCAAAATAGGGGGTAGACCACATGGCTCATTAACATATATGTTAAAGACCCTCGGCAAACTAGAGATTTACTTGAAAATGAAAATATCACTTCGCCTGTCATTCTGCTGCGTCACTGTTCTCGTGTCCTCCTACTCGCATTAATTTGTTAAAATTAACTGTTAGCTTAAGCATTGTTATATTGGATTGATAACTTCTATAATTAACTGAGGATTTCTAATGTCACTTCATCGTTCTTCTAATGGACCTCCACCAGCGAAACCACTTGTTGCATTGCTTGATGGTCGTGACTGCACTATTGAAATGCCCTTGTTAAAAGATGTGGCCACAGTTGCTTTCTGCGATGCTTCATCCACCAGTGAAATTCATGGTAAAGTCCTTGAAGAAGCTGTTGGGGCTTTAATGTGGCATACCATTTCTTTAACGCGCGAGGACCTTCAGAAATTCAAATCACTAAAGATTATCGTGAGGATAGGCAGGTGGGTTTATGTTTACTTGCATATATATGGTTTATCGAAATTCTGAATTCTTGGTTTTGAGATGGTGGAGAAGATTTGTAGCTCACGTAAATGATTTTGATGGAGGTTTGTTCTCTGAGCTAGATGGTTTGTTTGTGGAGCTCAGAGAACAAAACTCCACCAAGAATTCTTGGTTCGTTGGTAATATTATTTCTGTATATGTTACTAATTCTATCTATAAATTAATATTCCTTTTCAGCGGTTATGACAACATTGACATAAAAGCCGCTGGGGAACTTGGAATTGCTGTTTGTAATGTTCCTGGATTTGGTGTTGAGGAGTCTGCAGATACGACACTTTGCCACATTCTGACCTTATACCGACGTACTTATTGGTTAGCAAACAGCCTGCAAATGGGCAAACGGATTAATGGACCTGAGCATTTAAAGGAAGTTGCAAACGGGTCTGCTCGAATACGACGTGATACTCTTGGGATAGTTGGTTTAGGTAAGCCTTTAATGATATTGTTTAAAATGACAAAACTGCTGATTGGTCTATCTATTTGTAGATCTTTAGTCCATTTAAGTACTTAGTTGTTGTATTTACACTGCGTAGCTCTTTATTAAGATATCAAAGATAGCTGAAACCTGAAATGATTCTAACAATTTCAAAGCTTGTTTGAATGATTATGTTCATCGTGCAGTTAAATATATGAAAAGTTGTATTCATATTTGTACATTTCACCATTTTCTGTATTGCAGCATAAAGCCGAAAGAGCTGGAGTCAACTTGTTCTGTAACGTCTAACGAACTTTAGTGCATGAATAGTGTAGAGGACTCATCATGATGAATTCAAATTGAAGTTACTTACTCTTAGTTAATGGTGTGGGACATAGTTTTGACTAAGACTATTGAAATAAGTCTGTTTGTATATGGTGCGTTTTGCAGGTGCATTCTGTTTTCATCCTTCATGTGCTGAACATTATTATTTTATGATTTTTTGTTTCATGATCGTTAATATTCTTAGTCTAATTAAAAGGATTGTCACATTCAGCTAGTTTTCCCTTGGTTCGATTAAACTTCTCATTGTACCATTGCTTTACTAACCAGTTGTCCTTCGTTTGGTTCTAAATCATATATCTCCAGGTGGCTTTTTCTTATCCTGAAATAAATCACATGAATGCTGTTGCATGTAATACGTCTGTTGCTAATCTTTTTGCTACCTCATCAAACTGGTTTACTGTATCTTGCGTCACACGATTTCAACATCATTCGCTCGGTATTCTCACGATACGTGAGGACTTGAAACTAGCTATAATCGAATACTTGTAATTACCCGGTCGCCTGCATTATCTAGATATGATTTCCTATAGATTCCTAGGAAGATTTTCAAGTGCAAGGTAACCTCGATAAACCGTTAGATATGTCTACTTGGTATGATTTCTCGCTATAGGTTCTGAGATTACTGCAAATCTTGAAGTAATATGTGATGGACATTTTATACTACTTTCATCCACTTAAAATATTTATGAGTTGTGAGTTCGTGGGTTTGCATCTTCAGTGGGTGAGATCGAACATGACGCTAAAGTTTCTAGAGTTTCTTGTTTTAGTTATGGCTTGAAATCGTGGCCCTGTGTTATAGGGATCAGAATCATTTGTAATCAGGCAGATGTATTTATTCTTTGACTTCTGAATTTTGAGTTTTGATGTTATTTTACACTCATCGTTTCTTAATTTCATCTAGTTGTTTTGAACTGCATTCTGTATATATATATATATATATATATATATATATATATATATATATATATACTACCGTTTTCTTCGTCTTGTTTTTTCCTCTTCTCAATATGGTGATCCTAAGTGCATATGCTTCTGGGGAAACAAAAACTGGAGTAAGTGGGCCGGGATTCAAAATAATGACTAGGTACTTTTAATGACTAAGCCACTGCTCTTCTCATATACATGTTTGTTTCAGGTTGTAATTTAGCTGGCTGTGCTTTCTGGAATTCGTCGTATGAAAATTGATTTAACTCCAAGAAATCTTATTCATAAGGCTTTTTTCTACTTACATAAAAGAATGGTCTTAGCTAGTATATTTGTACACCACGGTATGACTTTTTGATGGATATGATCTATTAAACAAGAAGCATTTCTAATGTATGCAAATTCTCTGCTTCTATTAAAGCAATAATCAGTTAGTTTGGGAGTTGAACGTAATCCCATCTGACTGGTGTCGTTCGCTGATCGTACCAGATTATAAAAAAGGACAAAAGTCCTCTTGTGATAGTCATACAGGAACCGATTTGACCAATTTGTTGCCCTCTATAATTACCCGTTCCTTTACCTGGGGCTTGGTAACAGCAAACTTGGGAAAACCAGAGTGGTTTCAAACCTGGAAGTGGGTGTGTTACCAAGTATTCACCCCTTGTCACGTTCTAGAACAGAAGAATACTTTCTGGCTCTTGACAGTAGAGGCATTTCCGAACTTTTAACCATCATTCGGCTCCGTTTGCAGAGTTTCTTTGACAGTGTTTATCATTGGATGTACCAAAAAAGTACATAAACCTTGTGAGGACTCTTTACTTGAATACTATTTTTTGAGTCAGAGCTTATGAAGAACTCTTGTCGGAACTGCGAATCTCAATTAGTGTTTGTCTGGGTTACTTACTTCACTCAATCATATCTAGTTTCGTTGATTACACACTTTTAGAGATAACGCTTTCTTCCAACTTTTCAGGAATTAATCACTTGCTAGATGATTAATTCTTCGACTTAGGATACTTAAATAACAGTCCTGTTTGATGAATACGCTAATAAAATGATGTCTAGTTGTGTTGCAAAATGTCACTTCGGTACTGGTATGGATCAGCGCTTGAACTACGGATGGTAATCACTTCACTTATCTTGGATTTCTCACTAGTCCTAGTAGGTTGATGGCTAACGAAATCTCGGCACTGACTCAGAAAGCTCAGTTGGTTTTTGGCAGTTTGCATCACTTATGGCATAGGTGAGATGTCTGTTTCCCAGCTATAGGTTGAGTATACTACGCAATAGTCCTCTCTGTCTTTCCTTTATGGCTTTAAAACATGGACTTCAAAAACAGCGGATATCCATAGGTTATTACTGTTTGATTATAGGTATCTTCGAGGCTTTACTAGCCTTGTTTTAGACCATTAAGTGAGCAGTTTTGAGGTCAAACGCAGAATACTATCCAAAAACTGAATTCGGTTGAAAATATTGTGATTTTTCGTCGACAGAGGCGATTACGATATGTATCGCTTCCTGCCTCAACGCGGGATGTTGATTGGTTTAAGAGGTTGGATGATAAGTAGGGGTCACCAAATCAAAGAGTGTCATCTGTCCATGACTTAATGTGCGTCATGTTAATATGTACAGCTTACGAAGTTGGCTTTTGTGAGGTTATTATTGCTTAACTTTGGATGACATGGTGCAGTCAGTCATAATGAGACAGATACGTTTACTCTTTGTTTTTTCCTAGGTCCTAAGTCTCAAGACTTTTATATATTATAAATCCCGAATCCATTTTTCTTAAGTCAACTATTTCTCTGTATTTTTAATCTGCTACTACATTGCAATTCATCTTGATAATTTCATCTCTGGGTTGACGTGGTGTGGCAACTTGAACTCGAACACTACCTGTCAAGCTTATGACGAACTGATTTCGCAACCTCAAGTGGTGTTCGGCAAGGCTGTTTACTATCTTCATTTTTGTTCAATTTCATCATACACCTACTTCTGGGAACAACTTTCTCGTCGACTGAATTTTCGGGGATTGATCTCCTACCAGAAGACACACTTATTGACTTGGAATATGCATATAATATAGTCCTGTTTAGTGAAGACGCTGATAAAATGCAATTTTTTGGTAGCACTGATCAACAATACCAGGATGTTTGGGATGTGTTTCTCCCCCTCTAAATGCAAATTGTTGCTTCAGGACTGGCCTGCGTCAAAACTTCAACTAATGATAGAAAGTGAAGTGCATCGACAACTTCACTTATTCTGGAAATCTGATCAGTTCTAATGAGTTGGTGCCTGACGACATCTCAGCACGGATTCTGAAAGCTCGTTTAACTTTTGCCAACTTACGACACCTATAGCGAAGTCGAGATATCCGTCTATCAATTAAGGGACGAGTATACTACTCGGCAGTTCGTTTTGTTTTACTTTACGGCTGCAAAACATGGCCATTAAGAGTTGAAGATACTCGTAAGCTACTAGTATTTGATCACAGATGCCTTAGAAATATTGCTCTCATCTGCTGGGATCACCGGTAAGTAATAGCGGGGTTAGACGCATGGTATTAGGGAGTGATGGTAAATCAGTTGGTGAGGTTGTGAATGTTCATCGACTGAGATTGTTGGGCCATGTGTTGCGTATGCCTGAACACCGATTACCACGACGCGCAATGCTGACTAGTGCTCGAGAAGGTTGGAAGAAAGTTAGGGGGGTCAAACCAGAACGAGGCATCAGTCCACCAAGTCACTAACTTCTGGTCTGAGCCATGTTGGTAGGTGCAGACTAATTGGTTGCGGTCTGCTTGACTATCGTAACCAGTGGTTGGAGACGGGGTGACATGGCTCGGAATTGACCACATCGGCATATAAGTATACACTCTTTGTCTTCTCTCAAACCGTGATATTAAAATTACTTTAATACCTTTCTTTCTACTAATTAATTCTTTCTCCCAGCATCATATCTTTGTATGCAATCTTTTTTTTATATATTACTACCATTGAAGTAACTGATTCTATGAATTTGATGTTCATCTTGTTGTGCTAATGAGGTATGGCAACTTTGACCGACGTGTATATGCGCCTTGTCCTATGTTGTAGCTGACTGACTGAACTTGAACCAATGGACATTGTACTAGGTTGTCCTTGGGTTGTGGCTAACTGCCTAATTTTTTGGTTTTCGATAGTTTTCGTTCCGAAACCAACCGATAATGTAAACTATCTTGAAACTGAACAATCTTCAAAAATTTCCTATACTATTTTCAACTGTATTTGCCTCGATACACGCTTGTTTCAGACATGGAAGTTCTACTTGTTCGGTGTAACAGATAAATCGAAACATCACACCTTTTCCGATAAATTAAATACCTTATTGTGTTCGTAAAATACTTGGAGGCTCCAAATGTGTTTGAAGAGACCAACTCAACAATAAATACGTTGCAGCTGACTGACTGATATAAAAACCATGCTTATCCGGGTTCAACTGATCGTAGTGTAGTTGGCTTGTCGCTAGGGTTATCAGTCAAGTCCAATATTTTCGCATAAGGTTTCTGAGATTCAATTACACTTAAATCTCTGGATTTACTATGGTTTGAATAGGAAATCACTTACATTTAACCCTCGTAAATTCAGAGTAGATTAGTATCTAGATATTCACCTGAACTGTGAGGTAGATTCAGTCATTTAGATATTCAGTATGGAAATTAAATCAATCTAGCATCAGAATAAGCGGTACATTAGTTCGGTTTGCTTGTCAAGACTAAATCTTATTTACTTTTGAAGATTTTTCAAGGAAAAATCTAGTAAAGCGCTGTTTTCTTTGCTTTAAACTCGTGGCTTCATGCTAGTGATATTAAGGAAATAAACATTTATTTAGACTTAGTTGAATATTAAAATACCTGAACTTTTGCAACAGCTTGATTAATCTTGGAAGTGTCTTGGCTGGAGTTATAGTTATTATCACAAAGAATTACTCAGCTTCGTCGATAATCATACTAACCATTGACCTCATAAAGTACGTTTTTTGGTAGACAAAGGGAGATAGCATGAATAACTAGTCACAAAAATGCTTTTTGGCTTAATATTTCACCGTCTTGTGGAGGAACTTTCCTGATGAATGACTTGATACGGAATAATTTAATAATACTGTTACCAAATATTTGAACACCTAACACTGAAAACGATTTATTTTATTTTATTTGAACATAAATATTGGTACAAAGGGGTACCGAATACATATGCGCCATACAAGTCACTTGATTTGTGTGTGGGCTGTGATACTACCCGGGTGACCAAGCCGAAGCAGGGGCTGAAAACGAAAGTCATATATTTGATTACAGATAATGGTAGACGAATATGGTACCTAGAGGATGAGAAAGGCATCCCACGTGTTGCGTACCTGGAAATTGTAAGGATGCTTAGCTGAACGTTTTCAGCTAAAAGTGTCCGTTGGCATTAACAAGGTCAGGAAAATTATCGATCGTCTGCTAAGCTAAATTCTATGTGATAGGGTCGTGAGACCAGTTTTATGTTCCTAGCTAGGAGTTAATCGTTAGTTAACATTTCTATTAGCCCAGCATTCGTGTATCTACTTTTATATTAGGGTGCCATATGGTGAATATAGATGATCAACAACTGAGTACAGTTTTACTCTCCAATTGTCTTTATCCTCATTTCATCTCGTACTGAAAAAAAATACATATGAAGATTCCGAAATTCAATATTTAGTAGAATCCCTATTTCGTCATTCTTAGATTTTTTGGAGCTAGTCGGCGTGGTTTTGAGAATACAGGTTGCCTTGTCGAGATAAGGTGTACTTCATTACTGATTATATATAGTAATTTTATTATTGCTTGAGTAAGTTCGGGGTATTTGTTGAGTATTGATTGAAAGTACGAATGCACTATATACGTGAATGTGACTGAATGTAAGCTACAGCTGGATGATTTTGGGCTGCCAATCTTATTTTGTATTATACCGCTTAATACATGATTATCACAGCTATACCTAGGCAGATCAAATAAATCTAATTGAAAACAAACACACGGATGGACAAATCAATTGTGTTGTGTGCGTTTACTTATCAAACGTCTGTTAGATGTCTTTTCCTACTCTTTCTCGTAAAATCGTTTTAAAAGTCAATGTATATCAACTGATTTTGATGTATTATGGTGATACTTCAAGCTAACTTTTTTATTGCTTGTTGAAATATGATGACATCTTTCTCTGCATGCTTTCAGTCTTCTAAACAGATAGGCTTTTTGTATTCCGTTAAGCCTTCCGAGTAATACACAAGTTCCTAGTTGTGTTACTTTTGCTGTTATCTCAGTGTGAACACTACAATAAATGTAATCATTCGATGTATAAGCATATAATACAGAATTATTAACATTTCACGTTGTTTAGTATTTTTAAATTATTATTATTTTCCTTACCATTACATAACGTAATTATCTAAATCGATGCACTATCTGTAGTAAATACAGTCTTGTTTGGTTGAGTGGTTTTTGTCTTGTAGTGATCATGATAACTATAAGTTAAACAAAAATCTGAATCATAGCAAGATTCAGATATTGACAGATCATTACCTCAACTTTTGTTACAAATATTTGGTTCCCCATCAACCTCATTTATATCGTCCTATAGATTCATTAAAAATTCGCTAATTTTAGAAATAGTGAGTAAAAACGGCGAATTGTTTCAGTAAAGATGTTATTGTTTGGATACGTAATTGCTTTCAAAACTACTTGTATATCGATGTATATGCTGATTAATCATGTCTAATCTATACTCATTGCAGTAACTATTTAACACGTGAATGGAATAATAATTGATCATCCATTTTTAGTATAAAGAATACAGATTATTAATGATGCGTTTCTTATGTTTCATTCTTGTGGCATAACAATATTTCTAGTATTGTTTGGTCTGTAATATCATGTGTAATCGTTCATCATTGAAATGCATCCAGAAGTGAAACTTCTGTGTTAATTTTTATTTGATTTATCGTTATTGTTTTCAGAGGATTTCAACTGTGTCTTGTCTGGATGCACATATTTTGTTACAGCGGTTTAGATATTTACATAGGTTTAACACTTTTAGTTGTATACGTGTTAATCGGTCTATCTATTCATATCTATTTGTTTTTGCTTACTTCTAGGCCGAGTTGGAACAGCTGTTGCATTACGAGCCCAAGCTTTTGGATTTCATGTAACATTTTACGATCCTTATCTTCCAGATGGGATCGAACGATCATTGGGTATCGAACGTGTTTACAGTCTTCAAGATCTACTATTTCAAAGTGATTGTGTCACTTTGCATTGCTCACTTAATGAGCAAAATCGCCATATGATCAATGAGCATACAATAAAGTTAATGAGACCGGGTAAGATATTCACAATATAGATATTGAAATGATGTGTATATTTTTCAGCTCAGTTAAATAATTTTTGTGTTTAAAATTTCTCTGCGCTAGATAGTTTTATTTCAAACCTTTCATTGATATAAGTTGATGTAGACAACGATGGGCATAAATCCAACTGGGAATACATCAGAATTCTGAATCGAAAGCATTCCAGTAATGTTAGGGAATTTCTGGAATCATGACGTTCAGATCATTTAGCACTTTAACGGGCACGTCGAATTAGACCTAATTTGTCAGCCCATTCGAAGAATGTCAATTGACATGGTCAGAGATCGACAGAAAAAAATAGTCGATTTGAAGGCAGGCACAAATGAAAATATTGAAAACAGCCTATGACAATAACCAATCATAAACAAGGGCAACGGAACTAACTGATTTATAACTCGTGGGTTAACTATAAAGCTCATTTCTACATGAAGTATGAGCTAATGATTTGGTTTTGAGTGACAATGGAAGTATTGCAATTAAACTGTCTAGCTCAGAGAACCCAACGACATCGATATTATGAATATATATATAGTATATCAACAATTCATTAAAAAAAATTATTATAGTAAATAAGATCAAAATTCAACGATTGGATGCTGGATGATGAAGTGAAAGATTTCGTTTAGGCAACTACAACCATTGAATGTAGATGTATTCTAAAAAGTTAAATATACAGTGCAAATAAATTATTTTTTGTAGCATATCGTGATTTAATCCTGATTTACAGGATTTAAAAAAAGTTACTAAATGAAATTAAACTAAATGCAATAAATTTTAAATAAATCCTATTAAATTAACTCTATCTTTCAATAGTATATATATATTTAAATGAAAAGTGCCGCAGTACATTGTAACTGGCTAAGTCGATATGTGCTCAAATATGTAGATGAATGTATGATCTTTAAAATGGAAGTATCAATTATCATTTATATTAGAGATAACATAATATAGTATTACTTTTCATAATTAATAATTTCTGTGTATTCTTTTCAAATATTTGGCTTCATTCAGAAAATAGGTTTCATATTTTTACCGTCATAATATGAACAATCATTTCTTGATTGTTGTTTTGCTTTTAAAGTGATTTATTTGTAAACCCAGATGAAAGATAAATAACTAATTTTCTTGATTGTGATAACATATTAGTCAGTTTACATTTGAAAACAGACTTCTATAATTTTGCATCATAACAAACTATACTGAAGTCACCTTCCTTGTATCGATTCACTCAACTCCTATAGAACAAGTTGCACTGGGAAATGTTTTAGGAATGTAGTTTTCCTTGCTCGCGAACACTTTCCAGAGTGTCCAAGCTAACTAGTAGTTAAAACAATCAATAGTTCTATCGTACCTCATTTAGTTCGAACGGGGTTACACAGCCAGCGTGAGCCAATCATTTACAATCAGTCATTTACTACTATTATTGCTACCACTACCGTGGCACGTGCTACTTATATTGATGTAAGTAGTATATGACGCGAGTTAAAAACGTAATGTCGGGCAACAGAAGATGGAGGAATATCAAGAAAGGAAGAGCGAGAACACAATGCAATTTGTGAGAAAACGCATGAACAATGAAATGTGAGACAATGGATTGATGTTTGCAACAGGAACATTTTAGGTTGATATGATGGATTGATATTTTGCAAATTAACGATTTACTATATGGTTTTTCTATTTTACCAAGTAACTCTGTAATTTCGTACTAAATGCATTCGATTGTCCCTACCCGTGTTCTGTTCACTACATTACAACTACTGGTTGTGTTACTACTACTCATCTGGGATTTGTTCTAATAATTTCATCCCACCGTGCTTATGTAGTGTGAAGACATTATCCGTTCCATATATTTCTCAGATGCGCTGACTGAACTTCTAAACTATTTACAATTCACTACCAGACTAACAATGCACCGCAATAACTAAATTTTAATTATCAGTCTGAATTTGATGATAGAAAAAGAAAAGGTGATAAAAAGGCAATTGCTTTCTAAACTCACTTGCTAATATTTTACCTATCAGTCGAGCAATTGCCTAAACCTTGTTCCTTTTTTAGGTGCATTTTTAATCAATACTGCTCGAGGTGGTTTAATTGATGAAGTAGCCCTTGCTGCTGCACTTAAGGAAGGTCGAATACGTGCTGCAGCATTGGATGTAACAGAGACAGAACCATTTGTTTGGAGTAATAGTAAGTTTTTTGCTATATAATTTGATATAATACATGTATTGTTGAGACTTCTGCAGTTAAATTAATGTCAAAAATAATGACTGATCCAATGCTTTATATCAGTGATAGGTTTTTGGGGATTGTGTTGTTTTATTATGTCATAATAAACCGGTTGTATATGTTGTTGGAGTATTGGGAGTAATCGGCACCAAGCTATGAACTATGAGCTATTTAGTTCATTTTACGTAGTACAGATACGTGTAATCGGCTTTAAGCCGTGCTTAAAGTTCGAGAGATTGTGATGCTACTCGGCTGTTTAGATCAAAGTGAACGAACCGAAGTTCAAACCTCCATCTTAGTGATTGAAAGTCGAATACCCTACTCACTGAGACACTTCTTCACTTCACATTTCAACAAGGAATACCTATTCTGTCTCTTATGTGGATGTAAATCATCCAGTGAAGTCTGAAATATTGCTGTTAGACTGTCCGGATAACGACCTACTTCCGAATTGCGAATTTTATTCCTGAAATGTTTATTACGACAGGGACTATCTCGAATCAAAACTAGACTATTTGATGTATACGAATAAACAATAGTATTATATGTGTCTAAGAGAATAAAACTGTTTCTTGCGAATTAGACTGGAAAAGGTCGTAAACATACGTGAATGTAATGTACTAGAATCTAAGAATAAAGTGTGTAATTGTGTTCGATCTAAATTTATGTCAACTTTGAAAATTCATTCTACTTCAAACTGAAGTAAATTTTGAGTTCATTTTATGTAAATATTTTATTATTACAGGTGCTTTAAAAGATGCTCCAAATCTTATTGTAACACCTCATATGGCATTTTACAGTGAATCAAGTATGCGTGAAATGCGCGAGGCAGCTGCAAATGAAATCCGAAGAGCTATTTTAAATCGCATACCAGACTGTCTTCGAAACTGCGTCAACAAAGAATTTATGCCCAATGGTGGTTCGTCATTATTTTCTCACGGTTGTTCCAACAATAGTCTATCCAATAATATCAATAATAATCCCCTGGTTAATAACAATCATCTGTCTCTTGGAGCAGGTATACCTGGTGTTAATGCCCTCAATAGTAGTGTAGCTTCAGGATTAGAAAACGCCGCACGTGGTTTGCATCCAGCAGCTGCAGCTGCCGCGTTCGGTCTCTCAGCAGGTCTTTTCTCTTCTGCCGCGGGTGGAGGTTGTGGTCTTGGGGTAGGTGCTAACAGTCTCCCCTTCCCTGCTAACCTAATTGGTGGATCAGGGATAGGTCTGTCAAATGCCGGTGGTGGAGGTATTCTCACCAACAGTGGTGGTCCAACAACAATCCCAGCCCTCCCTCCCCCTCCTGCCGTTGCCGCGGCCGCCGCAGCCCATCTAGCTGGCCTTCCTCCTGTCTCAGCGTACGCCAACTTCTTTCCTCCCGGATTAGCCGCTGGTTTAGGCCTTCCTCTCCCTCCTCCGCACGCTGCATCTTTGGCTGGCGTAACCGGATCCTTAGGAGGTACAACGACTGGGTCTTCAACGAGTGCAACCTCAGGCAATTGTACTAATAATTCTACTTCAGGCTCAGGAGGCCAGACAGTCAGTTCCCCCTCACCTGCAACCAGCGGTTGTATCCCTGGTGTATCCAGCAGTACTTTCGATAGCGTACATGCCAGGCTTGCTGCCGCCGCCAGTCTTGTTGCTTCGGGTCTAAATCCGAGGTAAGTATTACCGTTGCATTAATTTCGCTTTTCATTTGTAAATAATGTACAACTTAAAATAAAAATTTCAGTACTGAGAAAGGTACTTTCAGCTTCTTGCACTTGATGTAGTTGACTAATTTTTATTGACCAACGGCAGAAGTTACTTACTCACTTAAGACTGACTCACTGCCTTTTTATGTAGCAGTATGTGTGTTCTTGTATGGTACATATATTTTATACTTTTACATGAGTGTAGTTAACTTAATAACGTGGGGATTAATTTTTGCTCGTAAAAAAGTTTGGAGTTCATATTGGTTAGCTATATGACAGAACAGACAGATACGTGAAAGTTTCAGGATTTTAAAATTAGTTAACTTCACTATGATTGCAGCTCTGATATTGATATACATAACAGATTAGGCTTTTTGATTCAGTTATTGCGAATTAATCCATGATACTAGCTTGGAATTTATCGGAAATATGAAAGTTGATTGCCGAAATCTTGTTACATGCATGCGGTATTTGTTCGACAAACAAGTTATTTAAGCTGTATGACAAATTTTGTTTTTATTATGTTTTTTCTTCATGAGTTTATTTTTGAAAGTTAGATATATCTAAGCACATTTCTCTGGTTTACTCTCAAATAGATCAGAAATTAATAATTCTGATCTGTTTAATCGTCTTCAAATTTCGTAACAGTAAACTGATAATAGCACCTTTAGAGTAATCACTAGCTATAATGAAATGTAAGAGTTTATTCTCTGTCGAATGTCGATTTAATGAAATAAATATTAAGCTCTTTTTTTTTCATGAACATGATCAATATAATTTGCAGTTTTTTTCTTTAAAGTGATGTTAATTATTTATAAAAAAGAACATTGCTGTTTAACATGTAAATATAGTTGACTTTGTTTTTCCCTTCTGTTTAACTATTTTCTCTCCCAGATCTTCATGATACTACACTTTTCTTCTCAAAATTAATCAAAAGGTGTAAAGTGAACAAACTATATAAATGTTTTGCTAACTTTGAACTATAAGGGGATTTGTTAATCCTATCTACCCACCATGCGTATGTGTATCGCATGTGTACTTCATGCATTAATAAAATGTTGTGTTATGATTTATTTTTTTAAATTAAAAATTTATACATCTCAGTGTGTTGGAGTTCATTCATTTGTTTAATCAAGAATAGCTGGTAAGAAGCATTCGTTGGGGGTCAGGTGGGTAGAGGAGTATCTTTTCGACTTACTGCAGTTACTGCCTAATTGAGCCGTGCCAGTTTCGAAAATCTTATGAATAGAGATGTTAGTCATAATGCTTAAATTTTGATGTACCGTCGCTGATCGTAAACATATATATGAAGATTTTAATTCAAAAAATGGAAAATAGATAGTGGTCCAGTATTCTGAACTTTAGAACCAGTCGTTGTAAATTGAGTGAAGAGTCTAACGATTGATGTTCGCAATTTTGTTCGGAACTTCTATTATTTCACGTATGTACCGAAATCGGTAAACTAGTCTCATTGTTTACTGGACAGAATTGTTAAGCTCTTTATTAGACAAAGTAAACTATGCTGTGGATTTTATGATTAGCTTTGTTAATGAAGTCGTTCTGTGGGTCCAAAAGTATCTGATTTTACCGTCAATAGGTAATATATTCAGCTCTCATATTTACCAATCAAGCTGTAGTTAATAAGTTAGTTTGAAAGCACCGAGATTTTTCGAAAAGTATTTTAGGTCGTTCATGAAAGTCACACCTGGAAGTGATTGCGACTAATTGATCACAATTAATTTTCCACTTGTCAGGATTCATGGAGTTGAGACACGAAGACAGTTAACTGTAGAGAACTATACTTGACAGTTCATACTGTTCGGGAGGATTGTATTGCTGTTAAATAGATTTCCTTAAGTGATTAGTGCAGCGAACACCAGTGTGAAGAACGTTTAGAATACTGGTTTTTTTTTCAGATATGTATCAGCAGTTTCATAAGGACATTTCAAGTACAGTATGAGGTTATTCAGATGAAACTGATCTTTTGGACAATTTACTCAGACTGATTAATAAGGAAAAATCACAGATTTATAGCCATTTGTTTTATTTTGTAATTTAAGTGTTACTGATGAACATACACAACCCTAGGCTTACGGTGGGTTCATGAGTTAATATAGATTTTTAGTTATTTTCCAGAAGTTAAGAGGTTATTGATTGTGTGTAAAAGATGTAACGGGATAGTTTACCTGGTGATAGATTCCGTAATTCTTCAAAAGTCAAAAGTACGAGACAATAAGGTGACGATATACTACACGTTCTAAGTGTATCGCAGTCAGTAAGTGCGGTTATGTTTTGGTTTATTTGGTCAAACAGTTGTACATATATAGGAATAATTTCTATTACCAAAGTAATTGGGAGTATTTCTTTAGCAAAATTGTATTTACTACATCTTATGCATTATTAAGTACTTCAACTACATGGCGTTCACACACCTCGAGGACTACACAGGTTTAAGCCTTCTTGGGGAGCATGCGCATGTGGCAGCCTACAAAATTTCAACACACCTATGCATGGCCTTCTGGTTGCCTGGATGATGTGATCGTGAAGCGAAACAAGCAGATGCGAAAAATATTTGCCGTCTTTAAGACTAGTTTTGTCTCTACATTATGGAGCCGTATCAACCACTACTTTTCTCCCATGAAAGTTGTTTGGATAATGACAGTCCTCGATCCAAAGTATCAGTGTTGGGGGGGGGGCAAACAATTTATTCCTGAGTTTACGTAGCGCATCATCTCATTTGGAGATTGGTCGGACTTCAGTCGCTTTCCTACCAAGTTGCTTTGCAATGCTTTATACCACCAACACTGCTGACCCACATTTTGTGGTCAGTGTAAAAATCAGAAGTCAACTACGAAATTATGAAGTATGGGATGGGGTTGCAGAGCCAGTGAAATAACAATGAGCCCTAGCCAAACCATACAGCAGTCGGGTCACTGAATATCAGGCAGTTAATAGAACCCCGTCAAGCTCAAGGTCAAATAACGCTCATCAGTTAATCGTATGCCATGGACTGACCCATGCGGTGGTGGTCCTTTAAGTTGTTTAGTTAAGAGTCGACCTCAAACAACTAAGTATCTGTCAAAACAATAGAGTTCAATTATTCATCCACTTCCTTATATTGTATAGACATTATATTCCCTATGATCTTTTATTGAATGTTGAAGAGTTTTGTGTGTTTGAACAGGTAATTCCCGGCTCCACTGTTACTGCCACGCGATTTAAATAAGGACCTATTCACCACTAGTCTGGTTTCTTCTATCAGTAGAACAAGGGTTACATATAGGCACGAAATTCTCACTATCTTCTCTCTGCTCATTCTTACTAATATATTTCCGTAATGACATCCTCTGTCTTATACGCTCTTCATAGCGCCCCGTAGCATTTTGGTATGTCGAAGGGATAATCCATGTTAGGTGCTGAGCATGAGGTGTGGTATCAAAGTTAGCTGGCTCGTCACACTATTCCTGTCTAACTGGAGTAGGCCTCCAATCATTCGACATAGATAATCTACGTTAGTGGTGTACCTGTGTATCAAGTTACTATGTATTGTTATTCGTCATATTTGAGTATACCAAAAGAAATGTGCATACTTTGTTCGACCATTTTAATAGTTTGTGGCGATTTTGTTTCATCAATCACTGAACTTCTAAAATTTTTATCAGTTGTATATGTTTAGCTTGTTTGTACAGATTGTGAATGATTAGGAATACTCTGTATATTTCTTTAAATTGCTGAAATTTCTAGAGGTTGATTCAATTTTAGTTGCCCAATACGTTGGGTTGGTTAAAACTCAACATTGTCACGCTAACCTAATGTATAGCTTGAAATACAGTCTGTGAACATCCGACGTGTTTCGTTTTATATTATTATCCTTGATTATTTCTTATATTTCTTAATAAGTCCTGAGAAATAATTGTGAATCAGTGGATTGAATATTTTATCATACAAAGTCAGATAATACAAGCAATCGTTCCTTATAAAGTCTCGCTTTTCAAATGGATTTGTGTGGTGTTTGTATGAACTAATGATTATTCGATACTCGATATGTGCATGATTTCGAATTCTGAATACAATATATTCGTTTGTGCTTGCCTAGTTCATTATGACTTAAACTTCACTGTTTCTAGGATTCCGAGTTCGTATAATAATTAGAATATTTCTAATTATCACAGTCTGTCTACGTTGTGATCTTTTTCTTAGATATTCCATTACGAAGTTAACTGAATATTTATAGTCCACAAAAATAATTATGGTTATTTTCACCGCGAAGCTAAATCACGTTTTCAATTCTAAACATTGAAGTGTATTTTTAAGACATTAAGTATGAAATTGTCACGTATGCTGAGAATTTGGGATAACTGAAGTTTATTGAACTCGATTCGTCTTACAATGTATTTTCGTATGTTCTTAAGTATATGTAGCGGTAAATAAATCTTCAAAATAAATGACTTCGTAATTATTTTACATTGACCTTGAGTGAGTAGATCCAACTTGATTTCAAAGTGCTCAGTCAAGCATCACCACAGATCATTTGGTTATGCTGTGCTGGACATACCTTATAAAAACTAGTCAGATTAGTTTTCATACTACTCGATACACCAACTGTTATCCATATATATCTTCGCATCTCATCATTTCAGGATCCTTTCACCAAAAGAAGTTACGGGCAGTAGTGTTTGCGTATATCGCGTATAAATGACGTCTTTATCCTGATAATGCACGATTACTAGTTCCCCTGAATAATGCTTTAGTCGTTAACCATGTGCTGAACTTCGTAACAATAGTTTATTCAGAGTCTAAGACAACGATAAAGCCTTGAAACAGACTTAAATACTACATTTATTTACAGTTATTTACGGCGGCCTGCTTGAATATCTGGGCTACCTGTTCCTCCAATCTAGATATTTCATCAAGTTATCTGTTTTGTAGTTTGTTTTAGCACATCATAATGTCTATTGTGCACACAATCTATTCAGGCGCGTTTATGAAAAGTTTACAACCTTTCGCTATACGGGATACAAAAAGGTACAATCAGCGACATCATGGTGGCCGGCAATATGCATTGAAACGGATGAACATTCATCAAATGTGGATTACCGAACTCCTAACATCTAACTGATCATCATTCAAAATTTATCGTCACAATCGATCAAGGTATAAGAAAAGGAAACTTGTTTAAATATTTTATGCTGAGAATTCTATGTTGTGCCAAAAATGTAATGTTGAATAAAGCTTCTAATAATAATAATAATTTACTTAAAAATCAATCTGCCGTGGAATCTCAGTGATATCAACGTTTAGTGAGGGTAATGTTTGGTCTGCCGATGAAAAATAAGGCTTGTGAAATAAATGGAGATTTCTAAGGAACTGTTACATTTAGTGATGTTGCTGATATGACAAGAATGGCAGACGTACTAGTTTGGCTTCATAGTAGTCAGAAGTGTCAACAGTCTTCTGCGCAGGTTTGGAAAGAGCATTCAGACATTTTACAACAAGCAACTTCAATGAATGAATCACGGAGAGGTTCATCAACTTTACCTTTAACTGTCCACGTTTTTATTTAGGGAGGAAAACTCCAGGATGAAAATAGCTCGTAGCGATAAATAAATACCCAAAATCAATAGCTCTGCAAGTCTTCGACATTGGATGCTGACCGCATTAGTTTTAATGGACTCACCTAGCTGAAGGCGCTCGGTCATGCATCCGCACCAGATCACGAGTGGGAACTCCATGTTCAACTTCTCCTGCAACCGCTAGCCAGTTAAGATCAGTCACTTCTCGATATATTGATAGCCTATCAAATACATCTTCGAACCTACTGGCTTCTGACTTTTGATTTCACTGTGTGGGTACGATTCAATATAGAAGGTGTATCTGGTTAACGTGCTGCAAAACTACAAATACCTGTGGCATATTCAAGCTAGTTTGTTAATAATCGTGTTTTATATATTTTATTGGAAACTTGACATGAACCGACGTCCTTAGTGGCGCAACATTTCCTTTCCATCAGAGTAATATCTGATTTGTGTACACATCCTTGGAATTGAATCCATACCGTTTTAATAGTGAATACAACGGGTGATCTTATCCGCAACGCAACCAATGT